TAAAGAGAAAAAAAACAAGTGATATAAATTTCACATTCCTATGGACCCTCTGCCTACACACAGAGCAGAAAAACAATGACATGGAACATTTAAATGTCCACTAACCTAGCAGGTAGGGTGGGAGCAAAATGCCATTTTTTAATAAATAACTATATTTGACATTTTTTTCAATGGAGTTCATCAAATTTCAGGATTTGTGGAATATTATTTTCTACAGCATTTGAAATGTGTTTGGGGAAAATGGAGGCCTGTGCACCTCATATCCTTCGGAAGGTTGTAAACTATAGTTTCATTATGTTATTTTCAGATCCTAAGAGCAAACGCCGGCTCTGTGCTGTACTCTAGTTCCTCATTTGATAGAAGCACAAGAACCCCATTGTTTAAATTTGCATGCTTCATAAAAATACTTATTTGAGTAAATTATACTTACAAAACGTAGCCTCTCATTAACTACTCGCTAATTGTAGGTTATAAAAAAGTTACGGCAGAGACACGGCTATCTTGGAGGAAGGTTTATGATGTCGGAAAACACACAATATCATCCATCTTCCCAAACGCCACTCCACCGTTTTTGTATTCATGGAAATTAGTTAAAAGAACATCAGGGTAGGTTTTGTTTTGGATGCATCTTGTTAGAAAGGGAATGTACGTATTCGTCGCTTCGAGTATTAATTGAGCATCTACTGTGCCCATCTCAGTGCTATGTTCACGTATGCAGGAGAAACACGTCTGAGAAAAGGCAGAGATTCCTCTGGTAACTGAGGGAGAGGCTAATCCTGAGTTCTCTGCCCTCTTATGTACCACCTGTCAGCTGATGGAAGGACTTGTTTCTTCTTAACTTGCCCTGGCCTCTGAGTTGCTGCCTCGCCATCTGCTCCCCCGGGTCGCTGGGCAAGACACAGACCTCCATGAAAAGGGGAAGGGGCTGTACATCACCGATCACCACTGCCCTGGGCGCACACTTGTTCCAAGACTGTCAACACATTTTTATTTTTTAAATACATTTTTATTGATATCAGAGAGGGAGGGAGAGGGAGAGAGATAGAAACATCAATGATGAGAGAGAATCATGGATCGGCTGCCTCCTGCACGCCCCACACTGGAGATCGAGCCCGAAACCCGGGCATGTGCCCTTACCAGGAATCAAACCGTGACCTCCTGGTTCATAGGCTGACGCTCAAGCACTGAGCCACGCCGGCCGGCTGGGCTGTCAACACGTTTTTAAATAGTGATCTGCAGAAGACATATTCATCCCTGTGATGATAATAATAATAATGAAGTAGGAAATATGGCACAGGTGTTTGTTTAGCCCTCTTCTACAGCAGAAAAGTCACAAACCCTGCAGGAAGTGGCAGGCTCATATAAAGAACAGAGCAGTGAGTTGTTTGGGAGGTGAGAAACCAGGCAGGCCCTAG